TTACAGGTAAATAAAAAAAAAAAAAAAGCTAATAAAGTATATCTATTTAATTGGGGGAAAAATATCTATATAAGCAAGATTTCGTTTTAAAAATAACAATTGATGCAAGAGGTAGGGGTCTAATCGGTTTCGTTTGGGAGTTACATGGTTGCCAGCATCTAAGAACAAGCGTTCTGAAAGGACAGACGAAGTGGGAATTGCAAGGTATTTTTTTGCAAGTGTGCAAAGAATTGGGAATTCTAATCTTCGCTGCTTCCACCAAACTACCGGGTCATTTTCTTCTGTTGTTTCAATTTCAGGAAGTGCAAGATATTTATCAATTTCGGTTTGCTCTACAAATTCATCATGCTGCTGCCAGACTGAAGAGAAAAAGCTCTTCATTGCTGAATTTTTTTTTTTTACAGCCTCTTCTCTAGGTAAACTTGTATTAGTTTCTGCTTGACTTATACTTTTTAATTCATTGAACTGATTTCGTAACCCTTCAATTGTTCTCTGTTTTAGCGTCTAGTAAAAGAACCATAAGCAGTATATAATTTTAAAAAAGATTTAAATTATATTATATAATTTGATCAGACTTTTTTAAATATGATGTGACGAGACCATATAAGTGTTACCTGCAAATTGTATCAGATAAGTTTATCAGATAAAATCTGCAGGTTTTAGCTTTGCAACACTCATATTATTTTACTGAATCATGTATTTTTTTCACAAATATATCAAATATACTTACATTTGAACAGAAAGATAGATTCTTGAATCGAGAATCAAGTAAAGACGCATACATTCCATAATCATGTGGCAGGGACCATCGACTTGACAGGTTAGATAAAATTTCTTCTTTTACCTTATTTATAATATCGAAATCACTATCTGTATTATTTAGTCGATGAACTAATTCTTCGATTGTTGAAACCATTATACTCAATGTAGCATAATTTGATCCGGAAAGAATTTCCGTGGCTTTATCAAATGGACATAAAAGTTTAACAAGAGTCTTTACAACTTTAAATTCTTCATTTGATAATAGCTTGTCACGAATATTAGCATCATTATGATGATAATTATTATTGGTTGAATTTTCAAGGTTATTAGCTAGCCACTTAATTGGACGTTCGAGCTTAGCAAGTCTTTCAAGAGCCATGTAGGTGGAATTCCACTGTGTTGCCACATCTGTTATTACATTAACTACATTAGCTTTTAATATACCTACTCTGATTTGAGCTTCTTTTAATTGCTTTCTTTTTTTTTCTCTACTCAAAAGTGAAATCAAAGCTTTGCATTTTATAAGTAAGTTATGTGCAACTTCCAAATCTGCTTCAACACTTAACTGCAATGTATGCGCAGTACAAAAAATATTAACAATTGGGTCTGATACTGAAAGTCTTGCTGATAATCTTGTAACAGCTAATTTGACATTAGAGCCATTATCTGTAGTTATACTTAATATTTTACTTCCATTTAGACTAAATTCTTCAAGCATAGGTTCGATAGTATTAATGATATCATCAGCAGTTTTATATGCTCCCATTTCAATTACGCCTAGTGTAAGATCATAAATGCGAAATTCATCTGAAATCCAGTGGCAAGTTACACCTAAATAAGAATCATATGCCCGAGAAGTCCATATATCAAATGTGAGTGATACTGTGTTTGTTTGTATAAGCATACTTTTAATACTTTGAGCTGTATAATTTGTTCCATTTACAATTTCATTTTTAATTGTATTTACACATGGCAGTTTGTATCGAGGGTCAAATGAATTTAAAATGATACGAAAATTTTTATTTTCTATTAAAGATAAGAGAAGTGTACACGAAATAAAAAATATGATAATATCCCATGTAAGCTTTTGTTGTCTTGATGCTGAATAAGGTTTTAATAAAGTGATTTCTATAGTTTGTTGAGAGGATTTTTTAAGCTCTTCAACTGAGCTATGTTCAAGCAATGTTTTTGTAATATAATGAATATTGCGAAGGTGATTGACCATATTAGTTGTTGAACCATGCTATACATATTGAGTTTGACAACTTTCGACCTTACATTTGGCCTTAGTTATCGGTTTGTCCTCAGGTTTAATTCCAGGCTAGTCATAAAATTCAAAAAAGGTTTGAACCAACTCGGGTTTATCAGAAAGTTTTACTCTTTTAACGTTATTATTATTATTATTAAAAGTTTTATTGGCTAAAGATCGTGGTGGTGATTGAGAAAAAGAAACTGAAACATCGTCGTCTTGATCTAAAGTATTAGGTGTACTACTAGAAGTTGAATAAGTAGAATATTCTTGATCGTAATTATCATCCATAGAGGCCAACAATTAAGGTGAAGGAAGAGTTTAAGAAAAATCCAATTGAAAAAAAAAAGTAAGAAAATTTTTTATTTTATATAAAAATATTCATAATTCAAGATGCTAGAGCATAAAAAAATTCAACTACATACCAAAAGGCAATAATATCAACAACGTAATATCGAAACCTTGAACAGTAGTAATAGGCAGGCGTGCATATGCATATATGTATATGCTGTACATGTGTCTGCCTAATGTTACATTATATACTATTATTGCTATCATTCAGCACGTATTTTAACTTCCTGGCTGTCTTGGTGAAGTCAAAATTCTTACGTTATACATAATCTCTAGCAATCCTTTATTTATATGTTTATTCATATTTAAGATAAGTATGATTTATGCTTGCAGATTACTATTATCATTTGAATTCCAATTATATATATATTGACTTTTTTTAAAAAATTATATAGTCCAAGAGATATCGATCCAACAATAGTGAAATTGTTCTTAGAATCTTAAGAGCAGGTGATGTAAACAATTTGAATAATGAAGAGAAATCAGATTCGGAATTGATTATCATAATGTCAAAAAGAAACAAAGATATACTATTATCTGAATAAGCTGAATAAGAGAGAAAAGCTGCTGCAGTGTGTCAAATTTAGGTTTATAGTAACTGGATAAGATAGGCATTTTTCTTTTATCTAATGTTAAAATAGTCATATAGTATTCTAACAATGCTTTTTTTTTCTTTGTGAGTTCGATTCAAGGTCTTAAAATGCCCAAGAGTAGA